GACAGAACAACGATATTATTTGGCAAATATAAGAATAAGGATGTCCATAAAGTGCAAAATTTGATGACACTGATAACTAAGAATTATATTTTTTCGACTAAATATAAAAATCCTTCTGTTCTAAGTATAATAACTTTAAAAACAATTATTGTGGAAAGATTCTTGATTGAGAAATTTTTACTTTTGAAACAATGTAAATATACAGAGTATGAGAATAACTGGCAGAGCATCTGTGATATGATATGATTGAATTGTACAAGTCTACATATACATATGTATTTATGAACTTTTTCATGAAACAAATCTTAATCTTTACACCCCCTTAATGTAAAGAAAAAACAACACTATTGCCCCTATATTTTTTGTTTTTGAGTTTCTCTTTTTAAATGCTTCTTTCTCTCTCTTCCTCTCTCCCTCTTTCTTCTTCTCCTCCTTTTTCTATCCTATACTCAAACAACTTTCACATGTGTTTAATTAAATGTGAACTTGTGTATGTTGATGTCTTCCTGTAAATTTAATACTCATATACACTATCTATAGTAGATACTTGAAGGAAGATATATTTGTGAACATGCTTTTGTATATACTTGTTTGATATAAATGTGAAAGTTAAAATAAAATTTAAATAAAAAAAAAAATGAATGTCAACTCAACAAAGCAAGCAAGGTTCTTTTTTTTTCAAAGAATATGCTATTTTATGTCTAATAAGTATAAGAAAAAAACTTTCCTCCGTTTTGACTGTATAGATGAAGAATTGTCCATATACTTGAATCAATGTAATGTAATTCTAAATGTCATTATGATAATGCCCATCATTCATAAGAAGTACAAGTCTCAATCCTAATAGATGAATCACATTTTTTTTTTTTTACAAAAAAAATAATCTATATCTCTTGGCGGCCATATTTCTCTAGGGAAATGTAAATTCTCTGTTCATGTAATTTTCCGTGTGTAACTTAATCATTTGACCTAGTTTATTTACTTCTCGTATTTTGATTGCCCAGCCTAGTGTTATTCATACATAGAAAGATAACAGAAAAAAGCCACAGGGAATTTTATTGCATTAACGCTACAAGTTTGATACATAAAGTGAATTTTGGCGGCCATATTTGAGGGAAACTCAAAATTCTCTGTTCATGTAATTTTCTGGTGTGTAACTTAATCATTTGACCTAGTTTATTCACTTCTCGTATTTTGATTGCCCAGCCTAGTGTTATTCATACATAGAAAGATAACAGAAAAAAGCCACAGGGAATTTATTGCATTAAACGCTACAAGTTTGATACATAAAAGTGAATTTTTTTTTCATTCATTTTTGACCTTTGGATTGACCCTGAATAGAGATACCATTTACTTTTTGGCAAAGTGTAAACTATATACTGCATGACTAAACATGATTTGTATATTGAATTTGAAATGGTTTCTTAAATGCCTAAATCATAATACTCCTACTGTCCTAGTGAGAATTATGCTCAAGCAACTTTGTGATATATTCCAAATTTCCAATGGTTCTTCTTTGCATTTAAAAAAAACTTATTCAAATAAAATTGTTTGTTTTCTATTTATTTTACAAGAAATAACATGCTGAAAGTGAATTTAATCATTCTTTTAAAATGGTTAAAGTAATGTTTACAATTGTCTAAAAATGCTTAAATGCAAGTTTATTTCATACACAAATACCTTAAATATATAGACTCATTGTACTTATAGATCAAATATATAGATTAACCCCTTTGTATTGTAAACATTTTTTAACCTGATTTTTTTGCCTATTCTCTCATACATTCCCCAATTTAGTATTTCCAAATTATTGTTTACATAAGCAACAAATTTAAGACAAAACCACAATATATGCTGAATGCCCTGAAATGAAATGGTTACATACGTAAGATGTGTAACATGTCGTGTACAACTTTAAAGTCTACAATATTTTAAGTTAACCATATTATACAATACTATATAACTTTTTGAAAGTTATGAGTAATTCTCCACAAAAAATGTATTTATGCAAAAGATAAATGTTAGGGTACAATTTTAGAATACATTTTACATGAATCACATAAAGAACATTACAAATCATTTCTTTGTTGTTGTTTTCCTTTGGAACATCTGTGACATACATTCTTTTCTGTTGTTTTTTTTTTTGATACATAAAAAGCGCCCAAAAATCATTTGGAATCCTTATTTACTGTTAAACCCCGATACTCTGATGTTTGCTGAACAGTATACAGGGAGAATTTTAAAGAGTATCTAGTATGTGCCCTAATTTAGGAATAATTACAATGTAACAAAGATGAAACTCATAATTTGATTTAATGAGAAATGAAAAGTCATCAGGTTTCCACACGCTTTTCTGACACATCATGTACATTAACTACTCTACTAGTGTGTATTTGGTAAAAAAAATTGAAATGAACAGAACTTAGCATTCCAGATAATCAAAAATGAAACCTGTTAGAAATTGAAAAGATATTTTTGTGTACCAATGCATTATATTAAAAAAGACAATCTCTTTCTTTCCCTGTGATGAAAAAGTTTATCCTACATATAAAATGTGGATGAACATCTTTGGATGATGCCATTTTCACATTCCAAAAGAAACTAATTCAACTAAAACTAAAAGACAATAATTGAAATTTTAAAGAAATTATCAGGATGATATCAAGACCAAAAGTCCAGGAATTGATAAAATTCTACAGTTATCATCTAAAGATGTATATGTTTCGATTTGTTTTTAATCTTGACAAGCAAAGATATGTCAGAATTTAATCATTCAAACTTAAAACCTTTCTGTAATTTTTGAATGATAATCTCAAATCTATGCAAGCATATTTTAACATACAATTTACATGGGCAGCCATCAGCTGAACTTCTGCATCTTCATCTTATTCTATGGAAGCAGATTTTATCAATGATTTACAGCAGCCATCCGCTGCACTGGTGTACCTCAGTTGAACTTACCTAGGCAGATTTTAACGTACAATTTACATGAGTAGATATCAGCTGAACTCATCTTAATAAACCTAGTTTATAGTGTTTATGCAGGTAGGATTTAACATTCAATTTTACATGAGCATTCATCAGCTGAACTCAATATCTACATGAGTGCAAGGACTATGCACGCCAGATTTAACATGAAATTTACAAGCAGCCATAAGCTGGCTTTATGTTTCTAGGCTCAAAGTATGCAGGCAAAATCTAGAATACAGTTTCATGGGTAGCTATATGCTGAGCTCAAGACACTGGTAATAATTTAACACAAATGTGAGCAACATTTTTCTGACATAACTGACTGAATAGTGAATACAGATTATATGGACAGCCATATAATAAACTGTTGTTTTAAGCCAACAGTCTACACAGGTACAATTAAGTACCATTCCACCTAAGAACCATGCAAAAGGTGCTACAGTGATAGTTTCACAAGTTGTTTGTTTTCACTCTATATGTTTCAATATGATATAAAAATAAAATAAAAAGCAGTAAAACTCAATTATGAATATTGTTGCCACCAATAATTTTGATTTAATGAGTATAGGGAGCTCAATGTAGGGTGCGAAAGTTGGACATTCAGAAATTGACATATTTTGGGAATTCCTTTGATCTTTATGTAGCCAATAACTCAGAATCTATGCTCAATTTATAAAAGGGGTGACAACAGGTGTGTAATGATAAATTATTTCATCACTACTGGAGACACTAAAAAACACGGTCTATATTGTCCATTGGCTTACCTTTTTCATTTCAGACATATCCTATTATCAAAGACAATCTGATTAAAGTCAGATCCTTTGATCCTGCTCACATAGATCGCTACCCTGTGCTACACAAGGATCTGACTTTAATAAGATTTTTATCAAAGAGTAACTTTGTTAAATTTCTGTGAATAAAAGATTAAATTTATACAGGGCCTGGCATTTATTTATAGGGAAGGTTTGGTGTCTCATTTTGCTATATAGCCTACTATATGTCTAGGTTGATTTATTTTTGGGAATGGATGAAAATACAGTTTCCGCATGGCTAAAACTTACAAACTCTGCGGAAACTTAGGTTATAAAGTTTCTGCAAAGTCTAGTGGGAAACTTAAAGTTTATAAGTTTCCGCAGTGCGGAAACCAAAGGTGTCCACGAACCCAAATATTTTCCCGAATGAAACTTGCTAAAACTTGAGGAACCAAGGTTTCAGCATGCGTAACTGTTGAAATACATATGGTGTACCATAGGTTTCCGCAACTAAACTTGCTGAAACTTGAGGTATACGCAAGGTTTCAGTATGCGTAACGGTTGAAATACAAATGGTGTACCAAGGGTTTCCGCAACAGACACTTGCTTAAACTTAGGATACGAAGGTTTCATATGGTTTACAATATTGATATACATAGGGTATACTATATGTTTCCGCAACGGAAACTGTAGTATTGACTACACCATTTAGCCCTGGTTTTCAAAAAACTTTTTTCCCCCCTTAATTCTCATTTTGGAAAAAACAACAACACACTAACACTAATTATCAAAGAATTTTTAAATGTTATTATCAACCTTTACATACATTGGGTTAAACATTTATTTTCTCTTGCATCTTAAACATTTTTACAGCTAAGTCCGAGCCCTCAAGTCACGACAAGAGGATAGAGAAAATGTCTGCATTTAATGATGTCTCATACATCAGAGATATAAAAACCTTGCGAGAGGAACTTGGAACTGCATTACTGCAATCAATCAACTAAACTTGAATTCGGTTTATGTAAGTCTAGTATTATCAAGAAAATGTAAAATTACTTGGTATAATAAATGCACAAATTAAATCAAAGTAGCCAAGAGAAGCACCAAGGTGATATTTCTTCGTTAAAATTCAGTTTGTAGTCCATCATCAACCAACAGAAAAGTCCTTGAGTGGTTCTCATTTTTTGATTACCTGTCTGCACTTATCATGCTTATGCTAGTGGTGGCTGGCAGTTGTTCCAGAACCTGACACATCACTGTAGTCTGCATGTATGACCTGTTCCTGTTGGCTTTAAAAATATCAATGCTTGAGTACAGAGAGACTTGTTTTCATCCTTGGAGAAATGATATCATGTTCAAGTTGGATTGATCTGCTCATCAGTTACTTCAACCTATTGAAAATATATATATAGCTTAACAAATCCCAAATGTAGTAAAACAATATGTTAGATCCTCTCGCATACTCGCTACACAACATCTAACAACATCCCATAGAAGGTCACGTCAGATGTCAAATACGGAACAACTCTAGACTTATTCGTTCCAATATATGAAATACAGTAATTTTGCAGTTAACTATTTGACTGGTTAATAAGAATTTACCTCTCTGATGCTACACTCTACAGGATGTTGTTATTCTAGGCAGTATCTAACATTTAATATTACCATAATTGAACTGACAAAGTCCCCTAATGCTGTTCTAGTACAAGCCTTTGTTTGATTACTTTCTCAATTAAGCATTTTTTTTTATCAGAATGATTTATTAAAATGAAATCTAAATATTTATCATTTGTAAAATCTCATTAGTTTATTAACGTTGCCTTTTTTAAACACTTGACTAGGGATAATGAAATAAATGTACCCGAATATGTATGTATGGATTTGTTCCTGATTTTCAGAGTAAATTAAGGATTTTTTTTCCTTCTACTTGTTCATCAAAATATTTTTTTCTTTGAATAAACACTAGAGGCCCATAGACCTAATAGGTATCATGTAACAACTTTCACTCAATTGAATTTGGTTCGTGTTTTAAACAAAAAGCCGTTAAATTCCCAATTTTGAAAGACGCACCATTGTTTATCATGATTATACACTTAGCATGCTTATTTCGGTTACTCAATACCCAAAGGTGGATCAGAGTAATAAAGATAAAATGCAATTCCATTTTAAAACCACCAGTTGTGTACCCCACCCCACAGGAACCACTAACCCTTGGGCCATACATTTCAAAATTTTCTAATTGTTATCTTTAAGTTTTATTTCATCATAAATGGTTGATTAATTCCAAAGAGCTATATGGACCAACCCTAGTACTAGATCCCCTGACCTTGGGGCCATGAATTTCATAATTATGGTAGATGACTCAGTGCTGATTACAATCATGCCAACAGTTTGACTGCTTGATGTCCAGGAGTAAAGAAGAAGGGGGGGTCATAAAATTTACAAATTTTATTCCCTTTCACCAATAGATGCTTTGTTCCAAAATTGGTTGAAATTAGTTGAGCGGTTGCAAGGAAGAAGCTGAAAATGTTCAAATGTTAACACACAACAGAAAAAAAACAGATAGTAATAGGGCCTAAAAAATATATGTTTGTTTCCTGTAACCTGACCGACCCATTCAAATTACCCCCCGGGTGAATTTTTTTTCTGAAAATATGGCAAAACTTCGTTTGATCAATCAGCTGATTACATTTATTAAAAAAAAAAAACTTAGCTTGTAGCTTAACTTGAGACATAAAATACATGTATGTCAACCTAGTTTATATTTACCTTAGTGTTAAAGAGTAATCATTATTGTAACAACAATTTCCCCTACAACTTTCTGAAGTTTGTTTTCTGCCGCTAGACAGCCATTTTGGATGCCATGTTGGGCGTCCACTGTAAATATGACACCTGGTATATTCAGTGCGGGAATGTTCATAAACAAAAAAAAAAAAAAAAAAAGAATTCCCGACCTACCGACCCTTAATTTTTTGGGAAGGTTACAGGAAACAAACTTTTTTTTTAAGCCTAGGTCACCCGAGTTTACTAAGGTGACCTAAAAATAGGCCTGTTTATAAATACTTATTTTAAATAAATCATAGAATTTTAGTAGGTAGCTCGCAAAATGAGACTTTCTAAGAAAATGTTAACATCTGTTTATTTGATGGAAATGCCGAACATATAAAAATATTATATGAAGCTTAAAAAGTAGAGGAAAGCAGCTTACCCCCCAACACACACTGACAACCACTGACTATGATAAATAGAGAGCTTTAGATAATACAGTGAGATTAAGAAAACAATAGAAAATAAAAACATAAACTTTGTGTTTTAGTCCCTAATTTCCTAAAATAGAGTTACATAAGTTCTTACTACTAAAACATACTTTTCAACAGAAGTATTCTTCATCCTCTCTTAGTTTTCAGATGATTTGTTCCATGGATATCTGAAATTAAAATAGATCAAGTTAGTACAGTACCGTACAGTAATAAATATTTTGTTTTTAGCATGAACTCAGAAAAGTCCCCAAAACCACCTGCATGTCCATTTCCTTGCACCTGACATGCAGTGAAAATTCTAATGGACACATGACAAAGAAAAAAAATGATTGGAAATTGTATCATTTTAAAATGGACACAGTCACACTCTGGTCTAATTCTAAGTGGCAGTCCTATCACAACCTCAATTTACAAGTTCTTGAAATGCAATTATATCTGAGAGTGAGAAAAATTAAATAAGTTATAATTTTCCAGAAAAGCAAGACTACATCTAAATTACGTTTGTTTAAGATATGTAGGCCTTCGACGATTCAAAATTATAATTCATTTGATAATTTATTTTATTTGATATTCTATTTTACATCAAGGGAAGATCATTTGTAAATTAAGACAGAATTAGGACTCTTCAGTGGCCATTGTTGAAAACTTATTTTAAATTAATTAATGATAGAAATATGGCAAATGGTAAACAGCTATAAACAGAGAGATTACAAAAATCTTATTTGTGTATCAGTCATTTTATCAAGTCAATAAAATTTAGAGATCATAAAAGTATAATGGGTCACATTGCCAGTGGTTAGAGCGACATGCCTAGAGTTGGGAATCGAGAAGAGCTGATTCTTAAATCACGGGTCTGAATTCAATGTAGTACATAAAGACTGGTCCCTAGGATGAGACTGTGTTGGTGGCGTGTCCACATTAATAAAAAGTTCTCTAAAGGGTAACGAATAAATACAAGTATATGACTGTATAATGAGTCAATACATGTAAGTAAGAAAATTGAAAATGGCCAATTGCCCATTTCATCAAGCTCCAGTCTATCATAATACACATTTCATATACAGGTAAATACTACGTTCTGTTCATATCAAGAGAATCATTTTTATGGTTGTGATTTCTGATGTATTTAGAAACTGCATCATATTTAATACTCAAGGTACAATATTAATTAAAAACATGGTATTTCTAATGAACAATTACACCGGTAAATCAAGTTTTAGGTTGCTAAAATAGTGTTTATTGTTTCATATAGATCAAAACATGCATGACAGCATGAAATTACAATTGATCTATTAATTTAAAATAAATATCATTTTAACATTTTACGTTTAATTAATCATAATTATGCCTTGTAAGAAAAGATATTTATGTAACTTTGTATATAACTATTTTGTTCACTTTCGACAATGTTTCAAAATCATAATGTATGGTATGAAACTTAATAAAATACTTCAACTTAAATAATGTGAGGCATTCTGAAAATTATCGAGTCACTTTCATATCCCAAAATCCGCAAGTTCTCAGGAATTTTGCTTTCATGACTATACAACATGAACAAATAGGCATTTCACAGTGATATAATACTACACGATTGCATTCTCCCAACATGATGCCCTCTAACATGTCTAATATTTACGATTCTAGACTGCATGTATGTTAAAAATATATTCAACCCCTTCCTCGGCTGTGCAGCACAGTCTTCCATCAATAATAAAAACCATTCAGCAAAAAAATAAATGTAGGATTCAAGAAACTACTCCTGCGAATAACAAAGAACACATCCAGCAGTTATAATGAACAACAAAGCTCACCTCTTCTGAAAGAACTTAAGCGTGCCTGCGTGGAGGCAAATCTTTCGATGTTCCGAAAAAGTAAACACCGGATACAAGTTCATAACGATATTATCCTCTAAAACCAACCTACATTTGAAATTCCGGAATACTACAACACGTTGTACTTTTTTTAACATGATCGGGACGAAGCAGAAAAACATATTCTAATAATCATACGAAAACATGCAAGATAAATACAATGGTACAACATGCATGCGGCCGTTTTAACAGCAATTAATTATACGTATTACAACCTAAGCTGAGAAAGATTTATAAGGCGCTCTTTCAAAATAATTATAACTGTACAATGGTCAATTTGAATTTTTGGAACGCGCCGTTTTGACCCAACTTTATTCTTACGATTTCAGACAATAAAAACAGAAGTAAAGGTGCTCTGAACTGTAAGGTGCTCTACCTGTATCTAATCTGTCGTTCGAGGTGCTATTCTTCTGTGTAGAGTCAAAAGATCTTCTCATCCCTGTTGTTTTTCTTGAGCAAGTTCTTGGTGTTTTCTTCGCCATTTTGTCCCTCTTTCTGTTAATTCGTGCTATCTGGACGAATAATTAATAGGTGTGACTATCAACAACATGCGTTTATTCAATACACATACAGCATAATAAATCATACACCGAACCCGACCCGAATTCCGAACCCGTTCCAAATACAGTATATAGCATTTCATCAACATCCCCTTTTCTTTAGAAAATTTGTCAAAATTTCATCAAAACATCAAATTTCATAAACAAAATAGACTTCCATCATTTCACACACATAAAATGAATAATGCACTTATCTAGCAATAAAAATGTCACTGAAATGTTTTAAGTATCTGACCAATAGACTCAAAATGATCAATTGCAAATTACATATACACAAATGACTAGAAAATCACTTGACTTAATTTCATGATACAAAGTCCATTAACCAGTAAGATAGTCTTTCAGATAGGCTGGTTTTCTCCTTTCACGAACAGGTCTTCCTTCACGAATCGGTTCACTTGGCGTTGGTAAGGTAAGTTCAACGGACGGTGTTTCTAGTGTGCTTACGCTAACGATGCTCGAATTGTTCACTGGCTTAGAGTCTGTTACAAGGTTTCTCTGTATGCCGTCTGAATTATTTTCTGGGACTGAACGCATCGGTGAGCGGTCACGACTGTAGAAATTGACTGCTGTAGGTCGCACATGAATTCTGTTTCTACGATAAGTGGTTCCGTTCTGGTCCTTGACAATGTATGTCCTTGGTCCAAGAATACCATTGATTTCTCCGAGTCTCCAATTGCGTCCCTCTAGATGCTGGAAGAATACTGCTTGACCAACGTCCAATTCACTCTGCTCGCGAGACTTCCTGTCAAACGATTTCTTTACTGTCTGTCTGCGTTGATTCCTCTTCCTGATGAATGCATCAGTTTCTGGTTTCTCGAGTTTCTGTGGAAAATGTAGAATCATGCCACGCACTTTCCTGTTAAACATGATTTCTGCAGGACTAACACCAGTATCCTGTTTGGTGTATTTCGTTGCTCGAGAATTGCTTCATAAGGATCAGTCTTCTCCACTTCACATTTCCTTAACAGTGTCTTCATGATTTTCACAGCTGACTCGGCCTTGCCATTGGCTTGTTGATGCATAGGCGATGATGTCATGTGAGTGATACCCCACTTCTTTGCGTAATCTTGGAATTCTTGGCTTACAAACTGTGGTCCTCCATCAGACATGAGTACATTTGGAATTCCAAATCGAGCAAATTGTTTCTTGAGTAAAGCTATTACTCTGGAGCTTGTCAAAGAAGTAAGCAAATCGATTTCGATGAAACTTGAGAAATAGTCAACTGCGATCAAAGAATGCTTTCCATTCAGCTCAAACAGGTCAAGTCCTATTTTCTGCCATGGAGTAGATCCTTCTGCATGCTGCATCAATGGAGCATTTTGGTTCATGGGTTTTCTCTCTTGACATATTGAACAACAATCAGCTAACTGCTTGATATCTGAATTCATTCCAGGCCAAAATATTGTTCCTCTTGCCCTCATCAGCATGCTATCATATCCAAAGTGAGCCTTGTGAAATCTGGCCTTCATTTCACTCCTCAAAGATTTAGGTATAATTACAGCTTCCCCTTTGAGCATAAGTCCATCACTAAATGATATAGTGTCTCTGAAGTCAAAGTAATGGCGAATTCTCTGTGGCGTTTCATGTTTCTGCTCTGGCCACCCGTTCATCACGGTTTCCTTGAGAATTTGCATTTCCTCATCAATCTCTGTTGCTTCTTTTATTTCACTCAGGCGAGCATCAGGAATGTCACATGGTTCGTCACTCTTCAATGCCATGATTCTAAGTCTCTCACTAAAATTACCCTCCTCACTCTTCAGATATGCGCGACTCAATGTATCTGCAATCGTAAGGTTAGTTCCCTTGACATAAACAAAGTCAAAATCGTACCGGTTCCATCTCATCATGATGTCCTGTAGTCGCTTCGGTGCCATTGCTAGAGGTTTCTTCAGGATGGCCTCTAATGGTTTATGGTCATTCTGTATCGTCACATTACGGCCATATGTATACTGGTCAAAACGTTCCAGACCATATAACACAGATAACGCTTCTTTCTCGATCTGCGCCCAGTTTCTCTCAGACACTGTCAGTGATCTAGATGCATACTCCACCGGTCTACCTTCCTGCAGGAGAACTACACCAATGCCGTCTTTACTACTGTCCACTTGTACTACTACTTCCTTTCCAGGGTCAAAGTACGCTAGAACAGGAGTTTCTGTCAGCATCTTCTTGATCCTCTGAAATGCTGCTTCACAGTCTTTAGACCAATGCCATGCCTTATCTTTGCGAGTGAGTTCTCTGAGCGGCTCCATTATGGTAGAAAGGTCTGGAAGAAACTTTGCCATGTACTGGACCATGCCACACAGTCTCTTGATTCCTGAAACATCAGTAGGAGGTTGCATGTCATTAATGGCTTTTACTTTCTTGTCATCAATTTTCACTCCATCTCTGGAAATAACATGAAATGAGATTTCTTTGAGTCCAATCTCTTGTTTTTCTTTATTCAAGATGACGTGTCTCTCCTCACATCTCTCCAACACTTTTCTCAATTTTAAATCATGGTCTTGCTCGGCTTCTCTGTCATTTTCTCCACAGCCCGCTATGATGATATCGTCCACCACACTGAAAACACCTGTCATGTTTCCGAACACCTCATCCAGTTTCCTCTGGAATATTTCACTTGATACCTTTAGTCCAAATGGTAGTCTCGCCCATCTGTACCTTCCAAAAGGAGTTATCATTGTCGTTAATCTGCTGGATTCCTCGTCCAACTTCACATGCCAAAAAGCCTCTTTGACGTCAAGTTTTGTGAAGGTTCTAGCCTTACTGAGCTGCGGTAGAATGTCATCAAGAACAGGTAAACGATAATGTTCTCTCATCAATGCTGTGTTGAGTGCTTGCGGGTCAATACACAATCGAAGCTTGCCGTTGGCTTTATGAGCAATAGCCATCTGGCTGACCCATGGAGTAGGCTCTGTAATTGGAATAAGTACTCCTCTATCTTCAAGCTTCTGAAGTTCCTCTCGTACCAAACTCTGGAGTGCGATAGTAATCTTCCTGCAGGGAAGAGCTTTGGGTTTCACATTTGGGTCAACATGCAGATGCGCTGTTCCCAAATCACCTAAGTCACTGCTCAATACACTGGCTATGAATTTCTCATTATTTATGGTAATCAACTTCAATTTCTGCACTGCTTCAAGTCCAAGTAAACATGTGTAATGATTTGGAATGACAATGAGTCTGAGTTGATGCTTCTCATTTGTACGTGGATTGATGACTGTCAGATCTGCCTCACCAAGCGGTTTCATGTTTGTCTTATTCCACATGTTCAAGCGGATTTTGGTAGGTTTGAATTGCTCCTTGCGGACGTAACGCTGAGAGATTGTATTCACATCTGCTGCGCTATCGAGTTGAAATCTAATGTCACACTCATTGATACGCATTATTGCAGTCACTTCTTTGCCACCAGAACTTGCAGCTTTCAACCATTGGTCCTCGTTGAATTCTTCTTCCTGACTGACTGAATGTATCTTCTTACACTTAGCTTTGAAGTGATTCCTTCCACCACACTGTTCACAACACTTTCCCCATGCTGGACACTTTTGTTTTCCTGGTTCGTGTTTGTACCCACAGAATTCACAGTCCTTCTTCTTATACAGAGTTTTAGTCTTTGAAATTTCCTTCTTTTTCTCCGTCTTCTGTTTACTGTATGTGTACTTGTCAGATTTCTGTAGCTTGTTCACTTTCAGAGTGGTTTCGCGTAGTTCCTTCACTTGTCTGTTCGACTGTTCATACGCCCTACACACTTGTATGGTTCTGTCGAGTGTGAGTTTGTCCTCCCTGAGTAGAAGTTCCTGTAACTTTCCAGTAACTGTAAACACTATTTTGTCTCTCATCATTCTTTCAGGTTCTTTAAAGTTACAAGATGCTGCACGGGTCTTCAGATCTGTGAGAAAACTATCAAATGGATCTTGGTATGGGAGCTTCCAAAATCTGTGTGATTCAAGTAATTCATTTGATCTGGGATTACAATAAGATTGTAATTTCTCAAACAGTTTTTCAGGGTCATTCTCGTCATTAACATTGTCCCACTTGAATTGGTCATAAATTTCTACCACGTGGGGGCCTCCACAACTGAGTATTATGGCTACCTGCACTTCTTTGGCCTTCTCTAAGCCACCGGAAGCTGCGAGATACACCTCGACCTGTCTTTTCCATTTCTTATAATTTTCTGACACATTTCCTGTTGTTAATTCTAACTCAGGCGGTAATCGAAAAGGACAGTTATATACCTGCACTGGGGTTGGTTCTGCTTCGCCCATGTTATGCAAATGGCGGCTCTCGGACGCACGTGGTTGCACAAAAAGTCAAACTTTACTTGTACAAATAAGTTTGTAGCGATAAAAGTCACCTTTCGCCTGCCGATATGGAGCGTTGAGACGTTTTCAGAGTCCACGCACCGCTGCCACCATGTAAATTCGTGCTATCTGGACGAATAATTAATAGGTGTGACGATCAACAACATGCGTTTATTCAATACACATACAACATAATAAATCATACACCGAACCCGACCCGAATTCCGAACCCGTTCCAAATACAGTATATAGCATTTCATCAACACTTTCTTCTACTAAAAATCTAACCAATGAGAGAGAAGCATTCTATCGCGATACGCCACCTAATGATTGAATGTCAGTCTCTATGGAAATTTTGCATTTCTCTTTTGGAAATATTTTTTTTACGTTTTAGGCCTAAATAAAATTGATCATGGAATTGAAGGGGGATATAAAACTGTACTTTAAGTCCCTTATTATCATGATTGTGGTAATTGTTGAAACGGACTGTCCAGATTTTTACAAATAGATTGAAAAGCATATACACATGTACTTAGATTATTGTGTAAAAAAAGTAT